CATTTATATATTCAGTGTGATAGGTATGAATTCACTGCTGACATTTTGTTGTACTTTTTGGTAGTGTTAACAATTTCTTTGTTTCTTTTAGTTCTGTGATGACTTATTTTTGTATAACATTTTATTTTCCTATCATTCATTTTTGTTTCTGTGCCTAGTGAGTCTTTTATATTGTCTTCTTTATTTTGATGAGTAGATGTATTAATTTTCTTTATGTTTATAAATTTACCTTTATTTTACTATGTTTAAAACAGTCTTACAGCTTGAAATTGCCTTGAATTCCTCTCCAAATGGAGGTTGTATAACTATACCATTTATTCTCCCTTTTTGTTTCAAAGTTTTCATTGTTTCCAGGTTAGCATGTCTGGTTCATTGTAATCAGTTTTGCAGCTTTATTTTAATTTTGTCAAGTCTTCATCTGGGTTGGGAGCTCTGGTAACATAGTGCCTAAGGCATTTGACTGCTAACCAGAAGGGTGGTGGTTCAAACCCACCGGCCACTCCTCAGAAGGAAGGTTGGGCAATCTACTTCTGTAGTGATACTGCCTCAGAAACCCAAGGAGGGGTTGTTAGGAGTCGCATCTGACTCAATGGCAGTGAATTTTTTTTTGGGGGGGGGTTTATCTAGGTTGATATTTTGGTCATGCTGTTACGTATTTTAATCTCACATTGTTGTCTGATGTTTTTGGTTCTCTGTCTAAATGATACCTTTTAAGATTTTTTGTAAGGCTGGCCTGGTTTTTACAAATTCCCTTCATTTTTGCTTATCTGGAAATTTCCTAGTTTTACTATCATTTTTGAAAGACAGTTTTTCTGGATATATGATCCAGAAATTGGTTGACAATTCTTTTCTTTCAGGATTTTACATGTGTCATCCCATTGCCTTCTTCCCCGCTACATTTCTTAGGGGTATTTCATTTTGCACAAACTGCTTTCAGAATTCTTCCATTGTCTTTGGTTTTGGAAAGTTTAGTTATGATACGTCTCAGTGAATTTCTATTGGGGTCTTCCCTATGTAGGATCTTTTGAGTTTCTCATCTTTCACTGTATTTAGGAAGATTTCTGTCAATCTGCCAATATATCTTCAAAAATTCTCTTTGTAAATTTTTTCCCCTCCTTTTCTGGAATTCTGTTATGTCTAAATTACTCCTCTTTATGTTATCCCACATGACTCTTGGACTTTCTGCATTCTTTTTTCCAGTTATTCCTCAAAAAAATTAGTATAAAATAATTTCCCCTTTATTTCACTGATTCTTTCTTCCATTGATTCAGTTCTACTTCTGTGTCATTTCATAATCTATTTCTGGTTTTGTTTTGTTTTGTTTTTTGGTAAATCTTGTTGTTTTTGTATGGTTTTAAACTGTCTGTTTAGTTTGTCGTTTTGTTCTTGCATTGTTTTCCTAAGTTCTAGGGTTTTGCCTGTGTTTTCCTTATCTCTTTGAGGAGCCTAAATATAAGTCTTCTGAATTCCTTCTCAGGTAGTTTTATTATCATTTCTTCATTAGGAAAGTTTTCTGTCCCTTTATTTTGCTCACTTGATTGAGCCATCTTATCTTGTTTTTTTTCATATGATTTATTATGATTTGTTGACTCCAAGGCATTAAGGTGTTTATTTGTTTATTTATACATTGTTGTATTGACTTTATGATAATTTATTTTGTCTTTATTTTTCTGTTTGGTTTGTTTTACCAGCTTTGTTTTTTTCTTTTTCTCTTTAGAATGTCTCTCTTCCTTTGTATTATTTTAGTTGTTGCTTTGTGGTATTGGTCTGTGTGTGACTTTAGTGATATCATTTGGGTGGGCTTGATTTCCTATCACTAGTGAATATGGTAAGGAGCTCTGGTGGCATAGTGGATAAGGCATTTGGCTACTAACCAGAAGGTCAGCAGTTCAAACCCACCAGCTGCTCTGTGGAAGGAAGATAGAGCGGTCTACTTCTGTAAAAATTTACAGCCTTAGAAACCCAGTGGAGGTCACTATGAGTCGGAATCGACTTGATAGCAGTGAGGTTTTTTTGGTGGTTGCAAAAACGGCAAGGAGGCCACATGTTCTGACCTCCTCTAACCCTACAAGAGGAAGACAGGATTACGAGCAGTAACCCAAGGCCTATTCCTACAAGGCCAGCCATGGTGCCTCCCTCCAGCCCTTTCACCAACCGTTCCTCCCAAAGCACCCACCTCCTCTCCTCTGGGTTCGATAATTCGATGCAGTGGCCACACAGAACTCATGGATTACAGGGTTTATTAGGGAAGCACCAAGCTACAATTTGAGTTCAGGAAAAAATGCTCAGTCTCTCTCTCCAGCCCACCATCCCTCAGCTGACAGTCTCTCACAGTCTCTTTCCCAGCAGTGCTGGTCCCTCGGTGTCTCACTCAGCGATGTGTGTCTCTTGCGTCTCTTTCCCAGCAGCACGTGTCTCCTTCAGGAACGCGTGTCTCTTTCGGCAGCATGTCTTCCTCCACCAGCAGTCAGAGAGAGAGTTCTGCCTCCAGGAGGCCTCCTTTTGGGCCCGAAACGATGGTCAAACTAGCCAATCATAGCATCAGAACTCTAAGCACCTGAGAGAGAGTGGGAACCTCCCAGAACATTGTATTGTGCCACGCCCAACAGAAATAAACCAGGTGGATAGCTTCAGCAATCAGGAGCTCTTCAGTTGCTCATAGCAAATTCCACCTTGGAGTTTACAAACACTTATGGGTAGAAAAGCCACACAAAGTAATTTACTACACTGCAGTGGTTCTTGTCCATGTGTGAGTCCTCTGTAGTTAGGTTTGTATGTCTTTCCTTATAGGATTGAATGCAGGTAGGAGAACAGGTTGTTGTTACTATGTGCTGTTGAGTCGGACTCGACTCATAGTGACCCCTCTGAGGTGGTATCACTGCGAAAGTAGATTGCCCAACCTTCCTTCCGAGGAATGGCTAGTGAGTTTAAACCACCAGCCTTCTGGTTAGCAGTTAAATGTCTTAGGCACTATGCCACCGGAGCTGCCACATGATGGTATAGGTGGTATTAAAAAAAAAAAAAAAAAGACCTCTCCTTGGATTTCTGAGGTGGTATCACTACAGAAGTAGATTGCCCAACCTTCCTTCCAAGGAAGGGGTATATGTATATGTATATAAACATTTGCTGTTTGAACATTCTTCACATGTACTGTTCAATGACATTTATTTATGTTCATCATGTTGTTCAACCATCATGCTTATCCATTCCCCAATTTTTCCATCACAAAAGTGCATTTAAGCTATTACTATTCATTTTTTTAGACTGCTTTATTTAATTCTTAGGAAATGTTCATTTATTCTATTAATATTTTTTAATACCTATATATGCCAAATATTGAAGTAGATTATATGAGAATATGGTGTTAAGCAGAACCAGATGTGGTCCTTGCACTCATAGAACATTTAGATTAGAGACTACTAGTTTATTTACGGAGTCAATAGTTGTTCAGGGATAGAATTCTTGCCTTTCATGCAGGGGAGTCTGGTTTGATTCCTGGTCAATGTATCTCATGCGCAGCCACCATCCGTTGTCAGTGGAGACTTGTGTGTGGCTATGAGGCTGAACAGGTTTTAGCAGGGCTTCCAGACTAAAATGGACTAGGAAGAAAGTCCTGGAGATCTACTTCTGAAAATGAGCCAGTGAAAACCCTATGGATCCCTATGGTTCAGTGCACAACCAATCATGAGAGTGGAACAGCATTTATTCTGTTCAGTGTATGGTGTTACCATGAGTTGGGGACCAACTAGATGGCAGCTTAACAGCAAGCTTATTTATAAGTTGAAGTAAATGTGGAAACTGTCGTTTTGCCAAAGCACATTATTTTAAGGAATTTTATCTGTTTAAAAGTAATCACATACTTAGCATAATTTAAATCTGGATATATGGAGATAGGAAGAAAAAATTACAGACATACTCATATTCTTATTCAGTCTATCTTTTTATCTAGAAGCTCCCCATAATTCTAAATGGCATAACTTTCTTTGCACTTTTTATGTTAAATTTTCTGTTTAGTCCTCCTCCTTTTAATTAATCAGTGAATTTTAAAACAAGGTATTTGTCTACCTTTAGCATGTGGCAGAAGGATTTTTATTTGAAATTCAAGAAATTCAATTTTCTATAATGTAAAATACCCAGAGGATTTGTTTCTTTAATTTCATATTTTAACATTGAAAAACTTACTTTAATTCTACATATTGTGTTTATATGTCAGTGTATAATTTTAAGTTGGCTTAATGGTTCCTTTTCTGACATTTTTCTGATGAAGTATATGTTTCTGTTAAGAGATAAAAGTTTATTGTTTTTTTCTTCTCGATTCATATGTAATATCTTGACCTTTACTTTTATTTTGGATTAAATTTAAAATAATTAAAATGTCCACATATTATAGATTTGAACAGTTATTTTTTTTGTAGGGGGTGTTGTCCTTAAGTGTTTTTCATGTATTTGAAGTGTTTATTTCATTTCCTTCTGCAAACTAAATAATTTTGTTCAAAATTTAGTTTTACTTATTATAGAAAAAATATTTAAAAATTTATTAGCAATAAAATTTGATTTTTATTGACATTTTTATTGAGATAATTGTAGATTCATATGTATTTGTAAGAAATAATACAGAGAGGTGTCTTGTACATCTCATCCAATTTCCTTTAGTAGTAATATTTTGCAAACCTGTAAGTATAATGCTACAAGGATATTGACATTGATACAATAGACCAGTATTATTCACATTTCCTTAGTTGTACTTGAGCTTTCTGAGTATGTGAAGAAATTAGATTTTATTCTCACAAAACTACTGAAATATTAAATTAGATCTGTGACCTTGGAAAAGTCAGTTAACTTCTTGTTCCTTAGATTTCTCATCTCAATAACTAAAACAGTTTGATTGGTTTGATCTTTAAAATCGTTTCTGAGTCACAAGGGTATATAATTTTTGTATGAGAGTATTTTAAAATTTGAAAGTATAACCCTTTATTTCTTTTTCTGTTTTTTGCATTTAGGAAGAAAAGGCTTCACTTTTACATCGAACTCAGGAAGAAAGAAGAAAGAGAGAGGTAAAACGGTTTTGTCACACTCTTCTGTAGATATAAGCTTTTTCCTACAGCATTCAATTAAACCGTGGTTTATTGGTATGTATATTATCTGACAGTTCACATTTACAATGGTAGTAAAAAAAATCTATTTTGTGTGTCAATGACATATGTATGACAGTAACAAACGCTGAGTTGTGAGGTAAAAATAATGCTTTCACCTTGTTAATGGTTAAGGTTACGTTTCAACTTGGCTGGGTCATAATTCTCATTGGTTTTGAGTTATGTAATGATTCAGTGTAACAGTTACATAATGATGTAGCCATTTTCCATTTTGTGATCCTATGTGTCTTCCATTTTCACATAATGGCCTGGTCTTTGGAACCTAACCATGTCAATAAATGAGATGTGGGTGTAATATATAGTAAGCATTAGGATCATTTCTGGATTTGTTGGATTTTAAAGTAAGTAATTTATTGTGGAATCTATATAGAGAAAATAGACTAAAAAGGCAGTTTCCAGAATGGGGAGAAATGACTTTTAGTTGATTCCCTTGCTTATTATATGGTTTCCAGAAGATCTAGAAAGGCTTAGTATATAATATTTCTATTTCATCAAGCAAAAGGAGAAAACTTACTATTAAGGAATGTATCTTAACCACTTGTAAAGAAAATAAAAGATGGGAACTGATGCTATTCTTTGTTTTAAGCTTTACCTTATGGTTCATCTTTCTGGTTATCTTAGTTATCTAGTGATATTCTGACAGAAATACCACAAGTGAATGGCTTTACCAAACAGAAATTAATTCTCTTACAGTTTAGGAAACTGGAAGTCTGAATTCAGGGTGCTGGTTGTAGGAGGTTCCCAGCACAGGGACCCTGGGTCCAAAGGAGGCACTCTGCTCCCACCTTTTCTTTCTTGGTGGTAATAGATCCTCTCTCTTGCTTGTTTCTCTCCTTTTATCTCTTGTAAGATAAAAGATGTTACAGGCCACATGACAGGGAAACTGTCCTTGAATCAAGTTTGTGAAGAGAGGTTACATCCTACCCTAATTCTCACAACTGATTGGGTTATCACATGGGATCGCATCCTGGGGTATGATTACATAAATATCAAATTACATCATTACATAACTGCCAGACCACTAAGAATCAAGGCTCAGCCAAGGTGACACATATCTGGGGTGGGGGTGGGGGGTCACAAATCAATGCATGACACTCGTGATAATTTCTTAAAATGGTTTTGCTGATTTTTCAGCAATTGTGTTATCTTATGACCTGCTGTTCTAGGTAGAATTTTTTTTTTTTTTTTAATTTTTTATTTTGCAACTCATTCATTCCTTCAACAAATATTTATTGAGCGTGTATCATGTACTAGGTACTATTCTGGTTTCTGGGTGTACAGATAATGAATAAGACAGATAAGTTTCCTGCTTAGTAGTAGAAGATAAGGTTGGGCAATCTACTTCCATAGTGATAACTGCCTCCGCAACACAAGGAGGGGTCTCTATGAGTCCGGTGGACTCTAGGGGTCGACTCTACCGCACATAACAACAACAACAGTAGAAGATAGTAGCTAAGATCCTGAGATTGTGATAAGTGGTATGAAAACAATAGAATAATGTGATATTAACTGAGAAGGGCTTCTTTACATAGGGTGATTAGGGAGGGACTCTGAAAAAGTTAATTCCTGAAGGATGAGAAAGAAGGTGCCTTGTGAAAAGCTAGAGGAAGAGCTTTCTTGGTAAATAGAACAGCATATGCAAAGAAGGACTTTAAGAAATGGTTTCTCAAACTCTGCACCATTGACATTTTGGGCCATAATTCTTGTCAGGGGGACTAGCCTATACATTTTAGGATGTTTAGAAGCATCCAGGATTTCTACCCACTAGATTCTCCAGCATTCCCTCCCCCTAATTGGGACAACCAAAAATGTCTCCAGAGGTTACTAAATGTTCCCTGGCTGGGAAAATTGTTCTTGGTTGAGAATTACTGCTCAACCATAAAAAGTGTCTTTCATCTGTTTTAGAAAATACACAGTTCTCTTCCAGTAGTACTGTTATTCCATTCTCCCTTTCTTCTCCTTGGATTCAAATTAAAAATGACCCTGTCATTATGTCTCATATGTATATTCTTTTCTGTATATTTGTCAGTTTTAGAATTGTCTTTGATTCTTTTTATTTATTTATTTTTTTAATATTTTCCTGTTCTCTTTTAGCTTGTTGAAGAAATCTTAGATTTTAAAGATAATATATAAACTCCAGTATTTGGCTCTCCTTTGGGTCTGTTTCTTTTGTTTGTTTGTCTTCTTGATTTTCAGTTTTTGTCTTTTGCATGGCTGATTATTTTTATTTGAATGATAGACATTATGAAAGACAAATTGAAGAAATATTTGCTTCTGGTAGACAGTAAAAGTTGGGATAAATCATCTTTAACTAATAAAGGATTGATCTGTTTTGAAACTACACTTATGTCCTTTTGAGGATTGTTTTTATTTCCCATTCACCTTTACCCCTAAGGTACAGCCCTTTAGGTCCTAACCAAAAGGCTGGGGGTGTTACCAAGATTCTCTTCTCAGTGGACAACTGAATGAATAAAAATAAGTGATTAAAAATTCATGGGAAGATATATGCACTTTTAATTAAGTCTTACAATCATTATAGTAACTGATAGATTCTAAAACTTAAAGCTCAGGTGTTTCCTTGTTATAACCATTTCAAGTACAGGGAGTACACTTGAATGATATGATGATATGATGGTATTCTCTAATCCAGTGCTTGTGTGAGTGAATATGTATGTGCATTCAAGCCTAGTAATTAGCATTCATAGAAGATGTGAAACAGTTTAGTGTGCTGAAATGGAGAACAGATTTTAGATTCACACCTAAATGTAAATACCAGCTCTTTCATATCTTTGGCTGTTACTTAATTTATTTGGAAATCTCAGTTCCTGCATCTTTAAAACAGGAAAAATACTTGAAGGATTATTGTGAGAATAAATATGAAGTGCCTTATAATGTGTTGGCACATAGACTTTCAAGTAATGGTAGTTGCAGTTGTTAACAATAATGAGGAAGAATATATATTAATAGGCCACTGAAAATTTAAAGACAGTTTCAAGTCAATGAAAATTGAGAAGTTATTTTTCTTTGAAACAAAGTTACCTTTAAAAATAGTTGTTTATATTGTCTGTTTATATTTTTTTATGTTTAAAACTAAAACTTCATTTTTTAAAAAAAGCATTAGTATGCTGATGAGATTGTAAAGGATGTAGCCACTTGGAAAACAAGCTGGCAGTTCCCCAAAATGTTAACAGTTATCATATGACCCAGCAATTCTGTTCTTTGGTACATGCCCATGAGAATGGAACACACATCCATGTGAAAGCTCATACCTGAATATTCATAGAAGAATTATTTATAATAGCCAAAAGGTAGGAACAACCCAAATGTGTATTGGGTAATAAATGGGTACGCAAAATATGATCTATGTGTACAATGGAATGTTATTCCTCTGTAAAAAGGAATGATATACTGGTACATCGATGAACCCTGAAAACATTATACTAAGTGAAATAAGCCGGACACATAAAAGGCCACATGTTGTGTGATTTCTGTTTGTATGAAATATCCAGAATAGGTAAATCCATAAAGAGAGAAAGGAGATTCATGGTTGCCAGCAGCTGGGCACAGGGGGAAATGGGGAGTGACTGCTAATGAGTATAGGGTTTCTTTTTGGGCTGATGAAAGTATTCTAAAATTAAATAGTGGTGTTTTTGTACAACTCCATGAATATATTAAAAACCACTGAATGGTACACATTGAGAGTGAATTTTTTGGCATATGAATCATGTTTCAATACAGCTTTTTCTTTTTTTTTTTTTAAATTTCATTCCCTAAGTGTTATTTTCACTGATTCTGATTTCAATCTTTTTCCCTCCATTATTTAGGAAGAAAGGCGAAGATTGAAAAATGCAATAATTATCCAGTCATTTATTAGAGGCTATAGAGACAGAAAACAGCAAGTAAGTTTGTTTTTAATACTGAGAAAGAACTAGGAGGGCATGTCAGAACTTATTTTAAATATGACATTGTTATTGTAAGTAGCATCTACTTTATATGTATTTTTGTACCCATTTAGTGAAAGCTAATGCTAATAATAATACTTTTCCCCTAATTAATTTTTTAGTTATGTTAATATTTACAATTAGGTCAGTTTTTAGGTAATTTTTACATGATAAAATATAAACATGGGCTATACCACACATGATATTAGAAGGTAGTAGTGGAAGATTTTGTTAGTGGGTTGTTTAAAGGCCATTGTGATATTGTAAGATTTTTTTTTTTGTTTTGTTTTATATTTTACTGATAACTTCACTATAACAGCATCTTAATTGTCAGTTTTCCCCATTCCTATAAAAACATTTACCATATACTTAGAACAGAAAATTATATACCTATGTAATATGCTTATATATATGTATATCTTGTGGTTGTTTTGTTTTCAGTATTCTATCCAAAGAAGTGCATTTGATCGTTGTGCTAATTTGTCGCAGTCTGGTGGCACATTTTCCATTGCTAATGGTCACAACCTTACCCTTTTGGTAAGGCAGCTTCTGTTTTTTTACAAACAGAATGAAGACTCAAAACGTTTGGTGAGTGCTAACTATGTTTTTGCTTATTCTTGTTTATATATTTCCCAACCTTTTTTAAAAAAAGTAGACATGGAGTATCTGATGAAAAGTCAAATAACCCCTCTAACAAGTTTTAGCCTTTATAAACTTTTTTTAGCCATCTGTTAATTTTATGGGAATAAGAGAAGTTTTAACAATCTGTTTTACCTTTTAAAACATAAATGCAAATTTTCAATAGGACTTTTTCATTATGGAAAGTTTCAAATATTGAAAAGTAGGGAGACTAATATGTTGACCTACTTACCCTGTCAGAACCCATTATTGAGCCTAAGCAATCATCATTTCACATATAGCCTTTTACACCTTTGCTTTAGGTCACTGTGAAGCAAATCCTAAATGTCATATATTATTATCTTTAAAGGCTTCAGTATAAATATGTCAATATTGAGTCTCTCTTTTTTAATCACCCAAAATACCATTGTATTACCTTAAAATTTTCATAGGCTTTTGAGCTCTGGTGGTGTAGTGCCTAAAACATTTGACTGCTAACCAGAAGGGTGGTGGGTCAAACCCTCCAGGGGTTTGAAGGTTGGGCAATTGCAAAAACGGCAAGGAGGCCACATGTTCTGACCTCCTCTAATCTCACAAGAGGAAGACAGCATTACCAGCAGTAACCCAAGGCCTATTACTGCAAGGCCAGACATGCTGCCTCCCTCCAGCCCTTTCACCAACCGTTCCTCCCAAGTCACCCACCACCTCTCTCCTGGGTTCGATAATTCACTGCAGTGGCCACACAGAACTCACAGATTATAGGGTTTATTAGGGAAGCACCAGGCTACAACTCAAGTTCAAGAAAAATGCTCAGTCTCTCTCCCAGCCCACCGTCCCTCGGCCAACAGTCTCTCAGAGTCTCTTTCCCAGCAGCACTGGTCCCTCGGTGTCTCACTCAGCAATGTGTTGTCTCTCGCGTCTCTTTCCCAGCAGCACGTGTCTCTTTCAGGGGCGCATGTCTCTCTCAGCAGCACGTCTTCCTCCACCAGCAGTCAGAGAGAGTTCTGCTTCCAGGAGGCCTCCTTTTGAGCCCGGCAGTGTGGTCAAACTAGCCAATCATAGCATCAGAACTCTAAGCACCTGAGAGAAAGTGGGCATCTCCCAGAACATTGTATTGTGCCACGCCCAACAGAAATACTCCACGTGGATAACATTTACAATCAGCTTCTCAGTTGCTCATTCCACCACTGAGTTTACAATGACTTATGGGTAGAAAAGCCATACTAAGTAATTTACTACACTGCAGCAATCTACTTCTGTAGTGATGCTGCCTGGGAAACCCAAGGAAGGATCACTATGAGTTGGATCAGACTCATCAGACTCGAGGGCATTGAGAGAGTTTTGATGTTATCATTGATAAGGAAAGTTCTGTATTCATGGTTGTTGTTGTTGTTGTTATGTGCCAACAATACAGACCCGACTCATAGCGACCCTCCTTGGGTTTCCAAGGTGGTATCACTACGGAAGTAGATTGCCCAACCTTCCTTCCGAGGAGTGGCTGGTGGGTTTGAACCACCAGCCTTCTGGTTAGCAGTCAAGTGCCTTAGGAACTGTGCTACCAGAGCTCCTGTATTCATGGTAGAAAATATAAATACATGCATAGGTGGATAATTTGTTTTAAATGGAACTTGTTATTACATCTAGTTTTCTAATATTTTTAGGAAATATTAAAAGGTATACATGTATTAGGTTAAATATATATTTATTGTTAGAAATTTGTATTACCTATAGTAGATATTTCAAATGTATTAAATGGTGAGTATGCAATGAAAAATAAGTTTTCCATGCTTCAACCATATATCCCAGAGAAATCCCCAAATGAAACATAAGTACAGAGGACAAAAGGTTACTGTACTGCTTAACTGGTATTTACCCTCATAACGCAACATTGCTTCTTAAAGAGAGCTAGGCTGAATCATGGGAAGAAATTCCTTTCCATAAATTAGAATCCTGTGGAACAGAGTAGAACTGCCCCATAGGATTTTCAGGGCTGTAAATATTTATGGAAGCAGACTGCCACATCTTTCTTCTGAGGAGCAGCTGGTGGCTTCAAACTGTCACTGTTTGGGTTAGCAGCTGATTGCTTAACCACTGAACCACCAGGATCCTTGCATAATCAGTCTAGAGAGGTAATAAAAGTGCCTTAATCCTCCCACACACATGTTCCTTAAGTGGAAGCTCTTTCCCAGGCTTTCTATTTCAAGTGTATGAGAGAAAGAATCAGAAAAGTACAAAAACACATCATCTGGCTTGCTTTCTGGATGAGGTTTCTCAGTCCTCATAATACTAATCTTGTGAATGAAAGATCACAAAGGAGCCGAAACACATGGGTGTTCCCTGGATAGCTATTGATTTGTCTCTCTAGAGTACCCATTTCCTTCAGAGAACTGTTCCTGTCATACTCAGTGTACAAGGTCTAATCAGCGATCCCCACATGGTTTCTAAAAGTGGTGACATTGCACAGTACTACTTCAGAAGTCAGCAATGAAAAGCTTGGACATAAATGTTTGACTCTAAGCCTTAAGCAAATATATAAAACAAATCGCTCATGTATAGATTTGGAAACCATCTAATAACAAATAAAAATAAATGTAATCAAACCTGATTAATGGTACCAAAAAAAAAAAAAAAAGTGAACTTGAACGTTTATTAAGTTTGCAAATAAAATTGCAAGAAAAATAAATTAAATATGGAGGGAAAAAAGTCTCCTGCCCCAGTCTTTAAGTTTCCTGATTCCCCAATCTAGGAGCAAAACTGATGCCAATTTTGATAGTGTTTCGAAGACATTCATTGCCAAAATAAATATATATGGCTATATATCCCATCCTCACCTCTTCCCTTTATTTTTTTAATTGCTTTCACTTCTGAAACCCATGAACTTCTTATACTATTTTGGTCTGCTTACTATAGACCTGCCACTATCCTGGGAAAGGCTTTTACTTTGCTTCTCTTTTTCCAATTTCATATCTTTTTGCATTCTTGTTTTACTTCCTCATGTAGCCTCAGCTGACTTCCTGAGAAAGGATACATGGGAAGTAAATTTTAAAAAACTTTGTTCATCTGCATTTAGCAATAATAATAATAACAGCCATAATAAGCAAGCAATGTAGTGATACTAGATGCTTTTTGGATGTATGAGGATAACCATAAACATAAATGCAATCCCCACTCTTCACTTGCCAATTCTGACACCAGTGACCCATGCAGCACTTTTTTCTTTCACCCTACCCACCTGAACTAGGTCAGATTTCACTTGACCTAACCTTTCAGTAGAAGCTCTGGTAGCATAGTGCCTAAGGCATTTGACTGATAACTGGAAGGCTAGCAGTTCAAACCCACCAGCCACTTCTCGGAAGGAAGGTTGGACAATCTACTTCTGTAATGATACGGCCTTGGAAACCCAAGGAGTGGGTCACTATGAGTTGGCTCCGACTCGACGGCAGTGAGTTTTTTTTTTTTAGCCTTTTAGTTAGGTGTGGTCTGGAGTCTTTTAGAAAATACTTACATTCCAAGCTTTTTTGTTGTTGTTATTTTGATTTTTAAACATTATCTCTCTGGAACTGAAGACAAAGACCAAGTCCTTTGGGTAAAGTTAATGTAAACCCCACAGGATAATAGTAGTACATGTGTCAAGATTATAAAATACCATACTGAAACCTACTCTGAAAAGTGTTCTAGTATATTGTCACTACTGCTTTGAGTTACTATTTATTTCAAAGACAACTTGAAACTTCTCTAGTTGATTAATATAGTTGAAGCCTTATTCTTAGAGTTCCTACAGTCACCGATTAGCTATTTATAAAAAATAGTCCCTACCTTATAACTATCTATTTTTTTTGGTACATCTTATCATGGTAATATGTGCTACATATAATGTTGCAGCACATAATTTGCTGATTTTATCATTCTTACATGTAATGTTTGCAATCCACAAAGATCTTTGTAAATAAAGATTGGATTTATAATGATACTGATAATAAAAGGCGATAATAAAACTAAAAAAAAGAGTAAAAGTTATTTGACTTATGTCAGAACTGACTTAATATGATGGAATAGTCAGAATGGAACCCTGTTGTAAGTTGGGGACTACCTGTATTTATAGTAGTTTTTATTTTGAGTTGTTCATGTATAGTACAAATTTTGAGATAAATTACATGTCAGGTAGTACAAAAAATATTTGTATCATACTGTTTCCTGGGAAAATATGGACAAGGTTCAAAACACCTCAAGGAATAATAAACTAATATTCTATTCAGAGTGGGCCACAGTGTAATTACCACTACACTAGGGTACACTCTAATTTGTTATGCAATCCTTTCTTATGCATTAATATTTAAATATTATTAAAAAAATTTACTGTTAAAGGTAAAGATAATAGGCAAAGAAAGGGTTATGTGCATATTTATATCTAGCCACATTTAAGAGGCTATCTTTTAATTTCATCTGGTTCTAAATATAAAATAACACTCTGTTTCACAAAAATATAATGGAGAAAATGGAAATGATTCCCTGTTAGGTATTGAGATTTCAAAAGTCATTAATGGCACCTACATGCATACTATGGGAGCTCTGGTAGCATAGTGCCTAAGGCACTTGACTGCTAACCAGAAGGCTGGAGATTTAAACCCACCAGCCACTCCTCGGAAGGAAGATGGGACAATCTACTTCTGTAGTGATACTGCCTAGGAAACCCAAGGAGGGGTCACTATGAGTCAGGTCTGACTCGACGGCAAATAACAACAACAACAACAACAACATGCATACTATATATAGTCAAGACTCTTGGATGCAAGTGACAGAAATCTAATTCAACATTTACTTAATAATGATTTAAGCAATCATAATGATTCTATATCTAGGAGAATGAGGAATTCTGACCAATTTGGTGACACCTGTGACCTTGTATTGGGAAGAGTGGAAACGTACAATTGCTTGCCCTACCAAAATTTTATGGAGTTGGGATTAGGAGAGCATCCAAAAGGAAAGGAGTACTAAAACACTCGCATGTAAACAGAGGAAAAAGGAATAAAGGAGAAACATACCTACTTTACGGTTAATTTGTGTTTTTTTGTTTAGTTTTATTATGTGTTGCTGATTTGTACAAATGAAAGTTTTTGTTTCAGATTGACAAGAACTTTATTTTAGTAACTAACTAGTAACTTAGCTTAATTCTGATATATTATTTTAAGATTTAAAAAAACCATACTTACTGCCATTGAGTCAAATCCAACTTACATAGACCTCCATTGGGTTTCCGAGACTGTAAATCTTTATGGAAGTAGATCACCCCATCTTCCTTCCATGGAGCAGCTGGGAGGTTTGGATTTCTTACCTTCTGGGTAGTAGACAATTGACTTATCCACTATGCCACCAGAGCGCTTTTATTTTAAGATGGGAAATCCAAAATACTATACATATACTAAGTAAAACCTTACGTAGAAGACTGACTTCTTATTTTATAAAGTATGTATTATCCTGTAAAGAAATTTGAAATATTATGGAAATTAGTAAACCATTACATTTTTATGTATTAAAGGTTCTAATTTATTTGTTTTGCTGTTTCAGATATGGATGTACCAGAACTTAATTAAATACAGTTCTCTGTTTGTCAAACAGTTGGATGGGTCTGAGAGACTTACATGCTTATTTCAAATAAAGAGGTTGATGAGCCTGTGTTGCAGGTAAATTGCAGCTTTGTCAATAAGTTTATGTAATAAGATGATCACTTTGAAAGTCTAGAGTAATATTTTTGATTTTCATTTTCTGAAACAGTGGATTTTCCACAATTGTTTTTTGACTGGAATATTTTATGTATTACAGTTTTCATTTCCTGTTGATTCTGTCCTATATGACATAGATATTGAAATGCAGATATAAATATCTTCCAAATGTTACTTTCTTTCAAGGATGCTCTGGAATTATCTTCTGAAATGTTAGATATCCTGGTTATGAATTAGCCAACTGATTGGACTCCTGATAAGAGAATGATTCTATTCTCTTAAGTATTTCTCCTAAAATATGATTTGAAAATCGCTACTTGAGAATATACCTTGTATCAGAATCTCTTAATTATGTATAACTTGGAAATAAGTCATGTCTATGACTTTGATTTAGTAAGTTATATTACCTGCATGAAAAACTAAGGTCACATCCTTACTTTTTTTT